TTCTCTTCCTTTGAAGAATCCTACTACATACCTGCTCAGTTATCACCTAGATACTACAAGAAAGGATGGAAAGCTAAACTGACTATGATTTAGAAGCACCGAGATAATCCAATCTAGAAAATTCACCAAACACAGGAGGATTTTCAAAAAGAGAACACAAAATGGTCATCATAAATGATAACACAATTTAAAACCTACCACACATCCAAACGTTTTTTTTTTTTTTTTTTTTTTTTTTTGCTTTTAAATATCACTTAGGTTATGTTTAATTTCTTACATGCTTATTGTCTTCAACATAGTCTAGGAATCTTATCCATAATATGGAGCTCCAGGGCAACGGCATCAGGGGAGATTAAGTTATTCTAGACACAAGGCGACTATGGCGATGTTTACTAAATGGACCAAGAGTGTCAGAAGGGAAGGTATATGCCACACCTGCTGAAGTCCGCAATATGAAATTTAAATAAAATTCAGCAAATATTTTTCTAGTAGAAACAAGCAAAATATAGGGGGAAATGTTTCATGACTTTTATGTGTACTGTTTTAACATAACTGCAGTATATTATGCACAATTTAAAAGCATTTTTCTTAGCAATTAAATATAAATTTGCTACATCTACCCATCATATTCATATACAACTAAGGTGAAGTGTTAAAACAATAGTCAGCTGGCGATATTCTAGAGTGGCATTTGCTAAAAATTGTTGAAAGGCAATAGATATCAATTACTGCTTTAAGTTACTCCCATGGTGGTCCGCCAAATGGCTTACACTAGCATTTTAGAATATCAATATAGGAATTTCTGAAACTAACACGTGCACCAAAAAAGTTACTCATAAGTCTCTGAAATTTCATGTTTCAAATCAAAACTGAGAGACCTTTAAAACTGGGACTGGGAATAGTAAATTAGACAAACACACCCTCTAGTGGCAAGTAAAGCAATTCACATATAACAGAAAGTTTAAATGATGAGCACTTCAATATTTAACCTAAATGTTTCTAAGTAAAACTAAAATGGGTGTTCTACCTCTAACTTTAACCTATTCCCAGGTATAACCAATAACATATTTCAAAACTCATCTGACGTCAGTATTGAAAATATACTTACTATATAAAATACGTGTATGTTCAACCTAGGTAAAAAACACCCAAGTATTGTGATGAAGTCTTTCCCGTGGGTTTTTTTCCTATTAGATTTCTATTGTTTAAGCTTCTATTCCCAGTAAAAAGCATCCATCTTTAGCGTAGGAAAAAATACGAATGAATACAAATGAAATGTGCCCAAACCTTTATTTTCCCTCCCCTCAAGCACTTATCTTAAAACTCAAAGCATAGTCTTTAGCTATTCATTGTCAATATTTCTTCAACAAATTATATAGTTATTTATCTAGAAATATTACTGCTTCATTTTTAAAACATTACTGGGTATAAAAAGGTTTGTTTTGGGGGTGACGTGTTGAGACAGGGTTTCTCTGTGCACTGGAGCCTGTGCTGGCACTCACTCTGTACACCAGGCTGGGCTCAAACTCAGAGATCCGCCTGCCTCTGCCTCCCAAGGGCTGCGATCAAATACATGTGCCACCGCCGCCCGGCTAAACATCATTTCTATACCTTAAAAATCTTGAAAGAAGAATGCTCTCCCTCCCCTTAAGCCTTGTGTGGCAGGCGAGAGAGCTGGCCCTGGGCCACACGAGTGGGAGAATTGTCCCTGTCCCTCACCAGCTGCAGCACTCAGGACAGCAGCGGGACGCTGTGGGGTATGTGCACACTGGGTGAGGGTGCATTGCTGTAATCGGTGTATTAAACAGCTGAATGGCGAACAACCAGGCGGGGGGATAGGCAGGGTTCCCAGCAGGAGAAAGGGAGAGGAGGAGAAATCCAGGCGTTCAGGAGAAGCCAGGAGACATGGTGAGGAAAACAGGAGGTACACGATGGAGAGAGAGGGAACGCCTCGTGATGGGACATAGAGTAATATAAATAGGGTAATTTAAGTTATAAGAGCCAGTTAGGTACAAGCCTAAGCTATGGGCTGAACTGCCATAATTCATAAGAAGTCTTCTTATCTCTATTTGTGAGCCGGCAGCCCGGAGGAAACACTGCTGTAAAGGACACCTTGCCTGGGATGTACGGCAGAGCTGGCCCTGTGGGCGGGCACTGGGCCAGAGAGAAGGTCCTTGCTGTCTTCTGCATTCCATGAGCTAGCAGCGGCGGTGCAGGTCCTTCTCCTGAGTGGTGACAATGAGCTCTGCCCCACCCAGGCTCAGAACCAGTACTACAAGGCGGCCCATCCCAAGACCCACTTCATCTATCAACTCCTTCGGCATGAGGGGCAAGACCTGCAGATCCAAAGCTACAGACCTCCACGACACAGGGCACCGGTGGGCTATCCAAGAGGAGCCCCAGCGAGCACCCAGCACCGACAGTGTAGCCCGAGCCAGAGCAATGACTCACTGCAGTGAACAGATGCCCGTGCTAAAGGGTACAGTGCGACTCAATGGGCCACACTGCCGCTTCTGTGCTGAGATCTCCTTGTTCCCTGTTCTCACTTTTAAACTTTTGTTTTGGGGGAAGTTGTGAGGGCACACGGTGGAAGCGAGCAGGCAGGAAGGTGAATGGGATGGATGCGTGACATTAAATTCAGAGAGAATCAATAAATAGTTAAATTAAAAAAAAACTTTTAACAAATGTTTTCTCAGAGTCATAAAAAGGCAATTCAAAAACTTGTACAAAAAATGGTATTTTTGGTATTTTACTTAAGTCTAAAAGATATCAATAAATATAACAAAGAATAATTTGTGTTTTGTGACTTTATTGATTCAAAATGAATATATACTTTATAATTTAAAAAACAGTAAATAAGAGACAACAGCGGTCACAATTGTTTAAACTTTTTTTAAGTGAGTAACTTTCAGAATAATCTGTAAGCAACATTCCATTTTAATTTAACCCTACAATCATTTTTCCATTCTATCACACTCACAAAAATGTGCAAATAAATAAAAATGAATGGTGCATAGGAAGACCGCTTAAAAACTATTGCACAATACATCAACATGAGAGTAAAATATGGACCATAAAAACCTGTTAAAAATTGTAACATGTTTCAAATGTGCATTTCACCAACTTGCTTTTTATCTTGCTCTCTGGGCTCTGGAACTGAACGTGCCTGATCAGCTTATCTCTTGGTAGTATGCATTTAACACTTGCTACTATAGAAGTCAGTGACAAACATCTCTTGGTAGTAATTTTTTTTTAACACTTGCTACTGTAGAATTCAATAAACACATCTGTTGACTTAAAACCGATTTATCTAGCCATTCTTTAAGTAGAATAAAAGACCACATGAGTTAAAAATACAATTAAAAGAAATAGTGCTCACTCCTAGATGAGGATGATTTGATGAATTAAAAGTTCTTTATATATTTATGACCACTTAAACAGAAAAGGAATTACTAAAATGAAAACCTACATTGTATTCTTAAATTAGCCTTCTAAATTAATTACTGCTTGTTCACGATGACTAGTTTCGAATTTGTTTATCAGTGTGATCAAATAGAACACGGGGAAAATCTAAAAGGAAGCATGAGGTGAACAAAACGACACCATTACACGTTTAAAACCCCTTCACAAATTAAAACAGAAAGCAAGAAGTAAATACATTTCAGAAATGAAAATCCTACGCAATGGATTTCTACATCCATTCTTAATCTGAAACAACACACAATAAGGTAGGGAATACAAGCACAACATATTATTGGTACCTTTATATGGTAAAGTTCAGAATGAACAGCCATTACTGTAACTGTGGAACACACTGCCAAAGCGGCCTGCCAGTGAGTTCTGTTCTAGTCAAAGTGAGGATGATCCAAACGTACTCTAGTCAAGTCAAATAGAACTACACTGTAGCTGTGCTTGTGTAAAGACGGTTATTCAAAACATTTCAGTGCATTTTCTCTGTAATATATATGGTATTTCAACAGTGAGCACTAAAGAAACTGTGAGTAGTAAAATCTAGATATTCTCCCAATGTATTTGTAACTATATGAACCATGAGGAACTAAGAAACAGCTTAGCCTGCATGCTAAGAATTAATGAGTACCACAATTATTATTTATTGGAAAGGTTGACTTAAGATGCATTAATTTCCTATAAACATACATATATAGAAATAAAATTTTTAAACATGTAAGATTTACGAAAGAAAAGTGTACCTTAAATTATATATTTAATACTGCAAAGACTGTAGTAGTAAACTAAAACTACTCTTCAAAGGAGTTATGCCACAAGAAGAAAAAATAAAATCTCCGCACATAAGTGGAAATGCAGAGAAAATGTGTCCAAATGAGATGGAGGTAAACTAATCATTCAGTTATAAGCAGAGTAAAATACATTTATATGGTCAGTTATTTCTGAAAAGGAGATAGCATAATTATATGTTCACAGAATGAGGATTACATGTTTAATCATTTAATTAGGTTATAGTAATCCATGAAGTTACTGGCAACATGGACATCAGATTTTCCTTTTCATCATCGTTTAGGAATTCAACACTAGTTGCTCAAGAGTTCAGCTGGGAAAATGACCTTGTGTCATCTGGCAATGACTAACCCAGATTCTCTTCAATAACAGAATCTCCAGCACCCCATTCCCCTACGGGGCTACTGGTGGTGGGCACCAGGGTCAGCATCTACTCTGAGTTCTTGTTCAGAGATGTGATCATCCTAAAGCTTCATTGTCCTACAGGCTCGTCTCTGGAGTGGGAATGCTTCTGCAAGTACTGAAGAGCTACACCTAAGACAATGACCTCACGCCAACTTGTATTTGACATCTACTTAAGTACTTCTTCGAATGGCACAGGCTGGAGGAGACAATTTATTATATACAGAAAATAGATACATACATACATACACAAACATATTTACAAACGCATTATGCAGCCAAAGAAAAAGGTGTCGCCATAGCTTTAGCACTGCATAGCTAAAGCAGGTGGCCCGAGTGTGAAAGCAGCAATGGCTATCAGATTCTGAGCCCGGCCCCTTAGCTCTTGGGACTCTGCTCACAGAATCATTCTTCGAATGCCACATTCACAGCAGAACTTTGCCCACTCAACAGGGTATTTCGTCCCACACTCATGGCAGAATTTTGGTAAGTGTCCAGATGAATTTCCCTCAATGCCTTTAATGTTCCCACCATTAATTGAAGATGTGTAGTCTCCATCTGGCCTACAGAAGTAGAGAAAGAAGAGCCCAAGTCAATCTCCCTCACAGTAGTAGTTAGTACCATGACCCCGTCAAGAACAGGGAGTAATTAATATACAGAAACTAAAATCTTAATGTGAATTTTAATATTCCTCTAGTTCAAATTATAACACAGTCTCTGGGCCATACACAGTGGAACACCCCTGTAATTCCAGATGAAGGGAGGTAAAGGCAGAAGGCTACGAGCAGCATCATCTTGTGTGTTTTAATACTGGGTAGCTCCTCCGACTGTACCCCAGGAGGGACAGTTTGTACAATCACTGAAGTCCTCTGCGTGGAGGAGACACACAGTTAGGTACTGAGAGTAAATTAAAGTGTGGTATAACCCTTGCAAACCACAAGCACAGTATTAAATGAATTAGGGTGTATGTTAATCAAGGGTGAGTAGCAAAGAAAAAATTACCAGCTTTTGCCAGTGAAATATATAAGGATTAATGCAAAATGTAAAGAAATCATTTACTCATCATGTACACCCATTAGTAAACATATCATGTAATACTAAAACGTCAGCTTTACTAGGCACTACTAAATCTGACACACAATTGCTCCAACTGGAGCAAGCAAGTGTGGTCACTACCACACTGTCTAACTATGTGTTTTGTGCCTGTGGTCACTACCACACTGTCTAACTATGTGTTTTGTGCCAAGAGATTTTCTTTTGTTCACCCTTGTTATTCTATTTGTCTGTATGAATGCCACACTTGAGTTCCACAATAAAGAAAAAAAACTAGATCATACATAGCATATTATCTATTTTTGTGTATAGAACTTGACTACATATATTATTTTTTATTGTAATTATTAGGTTAGCAAGCTAAACATACCTGGCTACATAACTGTCAGTGAAAGTTTTTCTTTTGTTGGTAAGCACACCTGCCACAGAATTTCTTGCCAAGCTAGGAGGTGTAGTATTTCGAGATTTAATGTTAGCTCTGGAAGAGAAAGTGGTAACATGATTTTAAAAAATGTATTGAAATGGATGTATCTTGATATTTTTGCATCAGTAGGAAAACAGGCTGTAGAGAAGTCCAAAAGTATAAATTCCAAGCAGTATTTCTAGTCTGAAAACAAGTAGTATTAGTCAATATTAATGCTACATTATATACCATTGCCTTCTTAAAATATAACATAGATCAAAGTGTTACTTATGCCTCATAGAAAATTTCATTTTGAAGCCGAGTTAAAAAGCCTCTTTTTCAATTGCTCAAAATATGGACACTGTTAACCGTTTATGGAAAACTCCTAAGCAAACATTAAACAAGTATTATTGCTAGCCTAAGAATACACGATATATGGTTTAAACAATAAAATTTGCTAGTTATTTTAAATGATAATATTCATTTTTATGAAATTTCTTAGAATAACTAAAAAAATATGGATTGAATTTCACCGACTGCACAGACTGAAACATCTGACGTAAGACTCGTTACTTTGAATTCCCATTTCCGAACCTTTAATTATATTAGATGCAGTTAATATTATGGTACATATTATGTAGTATATATTATAGTTAATATTATAGTTATAATATTAACAGGGGAGGCTATGAGACTGATGTAAGGTTAGATTAAAATTCTACTGTTACCAAAGGACTTTGTAACAACAGAATGATAACGATAACTTGAGTTTCCTCATTGGTAAACTGATCATACACATTACAAAAAGGTTTTCAGATATAAACCCATATAAAAGTGCAGCATGCTGATTATACTATTGATACTGCTACATGTTGACTTATTAAAACTTTGCATGGGGGTCTGCCTGCATGTGTGTCTGTGTGAGGGTGTCAGACCCCCTGGAACTGGAGTTACAGGCAGTTGTGAGCTGTCATGTGGGTGCTGGGAATTGAACCCAAGTCCTCTGGAAGAGCAGCCAGTGCTCTTAACTGCTGAGTCATCTCTCCAGCACCATTAATATTTACTACTACATACTAAATACATTTGTTTTGCATAAAGAAGTTTATTGAATTCTAATAAACAATCTCGTGTTACAGACGAGTTAAAAGGGGAACGAAGCCCGTGGTGAGTGAAGCAGGGTACTACAATTCAGCACTCAGAGCCAATAATGCATTAGCCCCTCCTCTTCTTTAAGGACTAAGCACGTTTTGCAAAAAAGCAATTTTGTAATATAAAAGGAAAAAAACTTGAAAAATTCTTTAGCAGTTCCCAATCTTTGGCTGAAATTCTTCCTACTCTACATCCTTATGTGGTAAGGTTGGAAGCATCCCTAAGAGGCTGGATAACTACTATTATGCATGCAATAACTATTCTCCAAATACTCAGCATACTAAGTATGAAGATGGTATCCCATTCCATGTTGACATTTTGTTTTTGAGATATTACATAAATACATTGTACCATATGTCCAGCTTGGAGAACCTGTGTTTACAGACCATGTAAGTTGTAATGCTATTATGTGGACAGATTAGTATTTAATGGATAGTAACTACAGATCCTATATTCAATACACAATGCCACAATGCAGAATGGTTGCTGAGTAATTACTTCTCCAACAAGCACAGAAACACTTTCAGTGCACTGATGAGTGTGAGGCTTATTCTATTCTAGCTTTGTAAAGTGGAACTGGAATCGTGCCTTTCTAAGTTCATCTCTATATAAAGAAAACCGTCCAAGGGTGTTGTTCAAATATAGTTTCTTTCCTTTGCATTTTTAAAAGCTCTACAAGTACTGCCAGGCATATTATTACCTTCATATAATGTGCCTAAGGTACATAGCTTGATACCTTGAATATCATCTATATTTTGAGATCATCAACCTAAATAGTTATGGCATTATGGGCCTACTGTTTTTCTAATATCTTCTAAGAGATGAAATCTGACTATCAAGAGCCATTATGAAATAATTGATCAATTCTTAACATGCTGTTCACATATTCAAAACATTTTCTTCCTGGAAATATTTACCCTAAGTCTATATGTGAGCTCAATGTGCTATATTTCAAACATATAAAAAGAAGTAGACTGATTATGAATTACACTCATCTTTTTCCTAAACCATTTCCCCTGATATCTGCATCAATTCAAGGCTCAGTAAAACAATGTTTCCCCTCTACTAATGATCACCACTTAGAAGCAGCCATGCTATGCTAGAATATTCTCCTGTAACTGTTTCATTGCATGCCTACTTGAATTTATCACTATCTTTCCTGGTGAATAAACAGGATACACTGTTAACCTCACTAATATTTTTAAATTTGTAACTGTTTATTCATTTGTTAAATCCTAATTTTATCATTTAAGAATGATAGACTGAATTTGATAGATATTGAAGCCCAGATCTGTGAATCCCGAAATCTCGTGCTAGTGTTTCCAAAATGACTGTGATTGCCAGTCTTGTTGGCCAGCGGCCAGAAGAGACAGGTATCTAGCAGTTACATTCCTCCTGTGTGTCACATGGAATTTTCAAACAACTACGTAAGGATTAGAAATCATTTGGCTGCTTTCCCAGGATATTTTTTCCTTTAGCTATAGTTCATCATCTGCTTCACTATGTAATCTGCCCTATACACTTCTTTATAAGGCTGCTACTCCTAAAATACTTAGCATTCACAAAAGTAATTGTTGAACTTGACTGCTACAATATCTTCTAAAATTATCAATAGGATAAAAGGCATGATCAATGTTAATTTGAATAGAAACCCTTAATGATAATAAAAATATCTTAAGGTTTGAAAGGCCAGTTAGCACTTAAATGATTTAAAATAATTAAGGTTACTTTTACATAAAAGGTTAAAAAAATTATAGTGTTCTATATTATAAAGCCTGCAGGAGACGTCTGGTAAAGACCACGGAAGCTGCGCCATCGATACTTACTTGTAAATGGGTAATAACTCATGTCTTTTGAAGGCACTGTCTGACTTTTTGTCACTGCCATAAAACCTTTGCACACGTCTTCCAGTTCGAAGTGGAGGGCCTAACTTGTCCATCTTACTATCAAAATATATAAAGGTGTACCCATAAGGACATTGCTACTGGCTGATTGCTTCTACAGAACTATGTAGACATAAGGATTATTTTCTTCAGAAAAACACATTCTGGTTCACTAGAAATCACCCACTTCCCTTAAGTAACCGACTGACAGGAGAAAAGTACATGCCACAGACTTCTGAGTTGATAAAGGGCCCGTCAACAGACCTGTAGCTTGTGGCCATTCAGGCCACCCTGCCGGTTTCCATGCAGTTTCAGTGGCACATTTATCCGGAGTGGGCAATGGATTAGGAAATAACGGCTTCTGGGAAGCCAGAAGTGTATGTACTTCAAGCAGTTATTCACAAATAATGTTCATTTTCCCTCAACTGCCCTTGTATTTGAAAGACATTAATTGCTCATGGAATGCTTGCATATTTATCTTTTCTCATTTTCCAATAAGGAAAGAGTTTATTTCTGAAATACATGTAGTGAAAAAGGTAAAACACGATCTATACTTTAAAAGACATGCTCATTCTAAACATCACAGGTAAATATTAAACCACCATACCATCCTGAAACCTTTTTAAACCTCAAGTATACAATGTCTCCATCTAGCGGATACTAGTGCTAACTGCAGATTTACAGGACACCTTGTTTTTTATTAGCTATACAGTCAAATCATATGTTATTACCAATAAATAGCACCTCAGAAAAAAAAATTCCTAAAGGATTGGTAAGAAAAATGCCATCTCTAACATTAAATATATTCTTAAGCCAGATGTGGGAGAGCATGCCTGTAATTCCAGCACTCCAGGGGCACAGGCAGGAGGATGATTGAGTCTGATCCCAGCCGTCTTCATAACAAGTTCTAAGCCAGCCAAAACTATACAGGGAGATTCTCATTCGTGTGTGTGTGTGTGTGTGTGTGTGTGTGTGTGTGTGTGTGTGTGTGTGTTCTAATCCATCACAATTCCACAATACAGAAATCATTTTTAATCCATACAAGCTAGGCTCATACACCAGAAGATTATTTTACAAAAGAGGGTTCTGGGTTGACAAGATGGCTCAGCAGATGAAGGAGCTGTTAGCTAAACCTGATGACCCGATGAGATTAATCCCCAGGGTGCACATGGGGAAGAAAAGAAGGCCACCTATTTCCTGGAAGCTGTCTTATGACTTCTACGTGTATGCTTTTGTATGCACATGCACACATAAAATGAAAAACTGTAAAAGAAAACATTTAAAGGAACACATTTCTATCACATAAAAAACTGGAGATATTTCCTACTAATTTAATATAACAGGGTATTAAAAATCAACTTTAATTTTGAACTAAAAGATGCTCTCCAGGGCTGGGGAGATGTGCCAGTCAATAAACTGCTTGCTGCACAAGCTGTAGAACATGAGTTCGAATCCCCGAACCCTGTAAAAAGCGGAGCATCACTTTGTGCACCTGTACTGGGTGATGAGTGGAGAATCCTTTGGCTCTGGCCAGCCATGCTAGCAGAGTTGATGGACTACAGGTTCAAAGACAGACCCTGTTTCAAAAAGTGAGAAGGGCAATCAACACACACTCACACACTCACAAATGCTCCTTACGTGTTCTCCGTCGCTGTATTTTTACCCCATCTACTATGATCAGTCTCGTACTGAAGGACATTACCTCACCTTCTGAAAGGGATGGAAGAGCACGTGAGGGATCGGGAAGGTCAAGTTGGGGGAAGGACAGCAAGGAAAGAGACGACTTGTTAGAGGGAGCCGTTAAGGGGCTACGGGGAAATTCCCAGGGATCCACAAGGACGACCATGGCGAAGAAGAATGTAAGCAACAGTGCAGAGTATAATCAGATTGATGACTACCTTAATCAGCATCATAGAGCCTGCATCTAGTAGCTGATGGCAGCAAAAGCAGACTCCCACAGCTAAGCACTGGGATGGACTCCTGGAGTCCAGCTGTAGAGAGGGAGGAGCGACAATCTGAGCAAGGGTCAAGTCCACGCTGGCGAAACCCACAGAAACAGCAAGGGAGCTCACTGACTCCAGACAGCGGGGGAACGAGCACAGGAATAGGGCCCCTGAACGTGGGTGACAGTTGGGGGCTTGCATAGTCAGCCGATGGGCCACTGGCAGTGGAACCTGTATTTATCGCTACTACATGAACTGGCTTTCTGGAGCCCATTCTCTATGGAGGGATGCCTTGCTCAACTCAACCCAGATGGGGGGAGAGGGGGCCGGCGGTTCGGTCCTGCCCCACATGAGGTGACAGACTTCGATGATTCTCTATGGGAGGCCTCACCCTCTCTGAGAAGGGGATTGGGGGTGGGGTGGAGATGGTATGGGGAGTGGGAAGACAGGATGGACAGAGAACTGGGATTCGTATGTAACATAAGACTGTTTTAAAAATAAAAACGAAAGCATAAGCTGTGTCAGTTTTGATCTTATTCAAAGATGACAATATTCAATAGCCTGGTGTTGTATCACATTTTTGAAATTTTCTGGGGCTAAATAAAACTATCTTTTAGAATTCTGTTGAAAAATTCTATTTGAGTGTTTTGTTTATATAAAAAAATGTAAAAAATCACTACAAGTTATAAACATAAGAACTTTTCCAAGTACAAATATTGAAATGTCATGATCCCAACATAGGATATAACAAGACTAGCATGCTTTAAGTAAACTACGCTAAAGGCGATAAACAGCATGCCTGAATCAGCTGTAGGATCATCAATTTCTAGCTCTTATCAATCTCAGATGATGCTCAATACCTTAACTGTTGCAACTGACTAAATGTCTTAATCCCGTCTTCACTCAACCCGCAATCAATACATAACTGAAAAAGATGGCTGCCATGCAAAACATTATGTAATTCTTCACCAGGACCACTACTCTAGGATGAGCCAACAAGTTTATAGTTATTAATATAATTTTATCAATTTATTTATCAACCAACTCCTAAAAATGCCAGGAATTTAGTGAGGGGATTTGTGTGTGTGTGTGTGTGTTTTGCTTGTTTGTTTTTTTTTTTAATTGTTGATTTTGTCACCATGGTATTTACAATTTACCCGGAAACAATCAAGTGAAGCAGTGCACCAAAAATTCTAAAACAGAAACGGTAGCTCATAATGGACAATTGTAATAGAGTCCACGAATGCCTGGATAAAGGGAAGTCATGTGTTTATTGGGGAAATCACTCTTAAATGACAAAGGCAGAGAACCACCGAGGTCTTCTGCCCTTAGCTCACCACCCAAGAGAGGGTCTACAAATAGCCTCTGAGACCGCGCCCTGAAAGGGCTGGTAGCTCAAAGACTATTGGCTCAAAGAATTCTGGCAACAGTAGCTGGCATTAAATAGAGCTGTTGAGTGGTTCTAATACATAACAGGAACATAGTAATACTCCAATTAATACAGTAACTCTACTGACAGAAGTACACAATGACTCCTTCAACCTGAGCACATATGACTGCCAGTTTAACATGTATGTGGTAGGGGGATAACCAAAGTGATCAATTTTTCAGTCCATGGCAAGCAGTGTTCAAAATCAGTAATCAAAGTCTAAGCACAGTCCAAAAGCGGTGTCAGAAAATACCTACCTAGCTAGTGACACACCAGAACACAAGACCTGGTTTTCCTACTTTCATGATCTGCGTGCTCACTCGCTTGCTATTGTGAGCTGTTTCTGACTCTGCCATTCTCTCTCTTGGGTGTGGTGTCTGCACTATGCGTCCACATTTTTGGATGTGTGTGGGTGCCTGTGTGTCTGACTGGGTGTGCATGCATGTGTAGACAGTCACGTGGAGAACTGAGGTTGGTAATAGGGATCATCCTTGACTGTTCTCCCAAGAAGCAGGGCCTCTCTCAATCAAACCCAGAGCCATTGGTAAGGCTGGCTCTGTTAGCCAGCTGAACTTGGGAACTGAGGAGCCACGTCCAGGGCTGGAATTACAGGCAAACCACTATGCCCACTCAGTGCTGCATGGCTTCTGGGGATCAGAACCCCAGGTCCCAAGCTTGTACTGCATGCATTTTAACCAATGGACCATCTCCCCATCCCCAACATTCTTTGCAAAATTCTACCAGCCAGCTTTGTGTGCAAAGCCCACTTAAAATGTCTGTGGTATAACTTTGTATGACTGAAAAATCATCAGTATAAAAGAAGTACTGAAAAATACTGACTTCCAACTTATAAACGGTTATAACCAAAACATTAAAAAGACTATCACCCAAGTAGAAGCAATTCCCTTTGTTATGGTGAAAAGTCTCTGTAGAATTAACTGCTATGTCAATGCATTACAGTGTAATGAGTTTCCCAGTAGAGAAGATGTCTTTTGACATCAGTATCGTTTTGGTTTTTTTAACCACCAGAAGATGAAATACGAAAAGGACAATTTATTGTACTTTATCACTACATTGTTGGTTGATATTGTTCTTTATTTACTCTGCAGTCTTGATTATTTATTTTCATCTTGGTGATGCTGGGAAATGAACCCAAGACTTTGCATACTCCAGGCAACTGTCCTGTTTTATGAGTAAGGTTTTTCGGCCTGCCTGGACCCACCGCCGCCACACCAGCCCCATATAACACAGAGACCCTGTATTAGATATAATGCTGTTGGCAAGTTACTAGTTTCTTATCGGCTCTCTCTGTCTTAAATATTAACCCATTTATATTAATCTAAGTACTTCCATGTGGTCTTATCTTACTTGGATCTCCTCCCTACCACTTCCTCTCTCCTCCTAGTCTCCTAGTCCCGCCTATCTTACTTTCCTATTGGCCAACAGTGCTTTATTCATTAACCAATACGAGAAACATATTTACAGAATGACATCTCCCATCAGTCCTGCCACTGAATTATAACGGCATCGTGTTAAGCTTTTGTTGTCTGTGTGTGGGTGTGAGATGTCCATGTGTATGTGTTTAGTGTAGACACGCGTGTGCCACGCCCACATGTGAAGGTAAGAAGGCAACAGCTGGAACTGGTCCTCGCCTCTGCGTTTTTGCCCCAAGTCCCTTGTTTGCTGCTATGTTTATCAGGGTAGCTGGTCCATGAGCTTCCCAGGATTCTCCTGTCTCTGCCTCCCATATCCCCAGCAAAATGATGGATTACGGTTATGTGCATCATCATCATGCCTACTTCCTGCATGGGGTCTGGGATTTGAACTCAGATACTCATGCTTTACCCACTGATTCATCTCCCCAGATTCGAAGTCTTTGTATATCTTGGATTTCCTATACTGTCTTAATTGAGTGAGGAAAAGATGGTTAACAACAACTGACAAATATTCCTCTGGAAACTTTCTTCACGACCATGGTGAGTCAGAGAGAACGTACACTTGAAAATAATGTGAGCTGTTTCTGCGAGCAACCACATATGTACACAAAGACAACAGCGTCTGTACTGTGGGCTTTGTGGCAATCCCTTAACCCTGTAATTCATTAACAGAGAGCCAAGTAAATCTATGAAAATAAGTATCCAGATAATTAACTATCTAATGTTAGCAACAAGGTTTCCGACATTACAATGGATCATTGAAAGTAGAAGCTGCTTTACTAAAATGCATCTATATAAAATAATAGACATATAGGAAAATTGTTAGTGAATAACCTCCCTACAACTGATAATTCAGTATATTCTGCAATTTTGCCTAAACACATTTTTAGTTCCAGTTCCGTCATGCCACACTTCATACAATGGAGGCATATGAGGATAATTCCATATGGAATTCGTACCCTATACTTTTCTCATGGCAAAATCATTATGGAAATGTGTTTATACATGTCTTTATGGTTGCCAAATATCTTTTATGTCTCTATGCATACTATTCTATCAAAACTATATGTTTACGTGAGTTTTATACATTACAATCTAAACACTAGACTGTTCTCTAGTCAAAGAGATCTCAGTCAGCACCTGGCTCTTCCTAAACATTCCACAGCTTTAAACAAATCTGAGTCAGTCACTTCATGACTACAGAGAAGACTTAACTAAATCGTACGCAAAATGTGGAACACAATATCTGCTATATAGTGCTCAACATATTACAGCTATTACTAAACCTTCAATATTTTACATTATTTCCTAGATGCCCCAAAGTAAAACTGTTCACACACACACACCCCTCTCTTTATGCATCTTGATGAATACCAACTATATTTTTCTGAAACAATTATATTGAGATTTCTCAATCATCACTGCATTATCTCCTTACCAGCAATATGCTAATAGTAGAAACAAATGGACTTAGAAAACATATTAAGGACAAACAATAAACATTGAAACAATGTAAATATACAGTGCCAATAACACATTCAACAGACTTACCCTGCCTGAGGGGCTGCTATTGCTTTATGAGATGGAGATAAGGTCTGAAGTTTATTTCCCAAAGAACTGTTAACTGAAGATGCTTTACCCGAAGGCACACCTTATAATAAAAAAGGTATTAGTTTTAAGAACAGTCTGAAAGAAAAGTCATACGAAGCAGAGTTAACGGTTCCTTATAACACTCTTTGGGCCTATAGTTATAAATAATTTACAACTACCCATGAGGGATATGCCCACCCTCATGTGTATCTCATCCCTGACACAGAAATGAACCACACACACACACACACACACACACACACACACCACACACACACACCCATACACACACACCCACACACCACACACACCCACACCACACCACACACACCACACACACACACCCCACACACACCCACCACACACACACACACACACACCCCACACACACCCACACCACACACACACACACCCCACACACACACCCACCCACACCCCACACACACACACCCCACACCCCACACACACACACACCACACACACACACCACACACACCCACACACACCACACCACACACACACACACACACACACACACACACACACACACACCACCCCCACACACCCTTTAGAGTTATCTGCTTTAAGCCAGTATACTTGTCTTACAGGGACAGCTGTCAAGTTCAGGTATAAGAAATGTGTGGCCTTTCAAGAAATCAAGAAAAGAACTTGGTTGTAGAAGCTACTCAATGATATTTCAATTTTACCCAGAAAGAACTATTAATCTAAATTTCTCATGAGTCTTTTTAATAATGTAGAACAGGCCACCGTTGTCATTTCCATATATATATATATATATATATATATATATATATATATATATATATATATCAATCATGGTTGTCTTTTGTTTGTTTAGTTTGCCACATGGATCGCATTACCTACAGCAGTTTTGCTAGCAGTACTTGGTTGTGGTAGTCGGGAAGACCCTGACGATGCAGTTCCAGGAGAATTGGACTTTTTAAGTGGAGATGGCTTATACTAAAATAGTGAAAATTAAAAAAAAAAATACATCAACATCATTTTGTTATCAGAGAAGGCAAACTGTAATTCACCACCTCAGAAGGCCTAAGACAGAAATTTTTATTATACAGGAATAGGCTATAGATAGATGCAACATTTGAAATAAATTTAGTAACGTTGAGTGTCCACATTTATAAAATCAAGTACCCTAATAAAGAAATCAAAACAAGTTTATTTCTGCCATAAACATTTGAGTAGACCAGCTCTTCTACAAAATTTGTAAGTGTCTCAGACAACTACAAAAAATATTTACAATTATATGAAAAGCATTTTTAAAGCACTGAATTTAAGATTAGGTGAGAAGAGACAGGCATTCCAGCCCCATATGAGAATGTGACAAACCCCTGCCAGCACACATCAGATGGATAAATAGTTGTCAGCCAGACTGACACCAATTAACTTAATTCGAAATGTTCCCAGAAAGACAGTGTATATGAAAAACAAAACAAAACAAAAAAACTGAAGGCAGAAGCAGAAAAAAAAAACCTAAGACAATTTACTAAGAACAATTATGTTTCAGGTATATTTCCAAACAAAAGACCTGGGTGCTTATTAGACAAATCCAAAAAGAAAAAAGAAAAAAAAGAAAAAAGAAAAGAAAAAGACAAGAAAGAAAGGAAAAGGAAAAGCAAAAAGAACTAGTCTGGCAAAAAAAAAAAAAAAAAAAAAAAAAAAAAAAAAACCCTCTCATATTTAATTACATAAAAAAAATGTGAACAAAGAATCATAAGTTGAAATGACTAATTTTCTCATGAGATAAAATACACTTCAAAAAACCAGGAAAAAGATACATTAAGGGATCAATAAATAGGGCACTGTATATTATGGATTACAATTGCACACACTACTATAATCTAAGAAATTTTCCAAGTATGTGATATACAAGAGGCAAAATTAACATGAGAAATAGAAAATACTAAAACCAAAGCTAAAGGTTTTAACAATTCTCCTATAACTGGTGTGAAAATCAAAAAGAATGTCAATAAAAATCAGTCAGTTCAGACTGGCATTTATAAATCTCAACACACAACTGTAGGACAAACATTTAATTCCAGATGCCATGTAGCATAGACCCTAAGACCACAAACAAGGTAACAGAATACATTCTAATAGCATAAAAACTTTGGCAAATACATTCTTGAACTAAAATAGAATTAAAAAAATTGTATCTAGAACACTGTAATTAATTACCTGCCAATAAATGACTTACTTGAAATGAACTATGAGTAAAAAGATAAAAAAAAATTAATATATATCTTAAACTGAATAAAAAAGAATTGTAAAAGGCAATTATAGCAATACTAGAGAAAGGAATGAAGTACCTGCTAAACAAAATGCCTTTCAAATAAATTAACTTGTATTTTCTTTTCTCAAGTAGTCATTCAAATTTTGTATCAAAGCCCTCAGCAATAACACATTTTAGACAATGGGAATACTATAGTGTTATAAGTCATAAACACAAATCTATGGCTTTCAAAGAGGCATATTCTCCCTAATTTGTAGAAATAATTAAAATCGTGCGCTTCACCTGTGGCCGAGAAGCTGGCTTTCCTTTGGGGTCAGTAGAGAATTTGCCCTTATTACTAATACGTGCTGCCTGTTCTTTACAGAAATTTATATGTCTATCTGCCGCATTTTCATTGAACCTCCTCTGGCAATATGGACACTGAATGTAATCTGAAGCACATCAAAGGAGAAAGAGGTTAATCACGGACCACCCGCAATGGACATAAAATACTTTCATGATGAATAAATGATATAAATGATGACAGTTGACAAGCACGTTCCCATTCTCATACAGTGTCCAACCTGGATAACCTAACCTTAGTAAAGATGTTTAAGAAAAAGTCCAAAGCTCAATTCTATCTCTTGCATTTGAATCAATCTGAAGAAAATTGAAGAAAAATAAATAAATAAATAAATAAACAAAGTATCAGTAGAAAAATAGTAACAGGAAAGTATTATTTACTTTCATCATGGACATAAACTTTATATGGCACCTAAACAGTATAAAACACATTAAAATATAAATTCAATACAGATTAAACTAAAAAATTATTTTGAAAAGAATCAAAATATAGGTAAACAGACTGCCAAGAAATTTACCAAAACACAAAAACAAAAAAAAAGTTCCAAGAAATGGAAGAGGTAAAATAAAAATCAAACCTTCACAGACATATTTCAGATGTCAGAAAAATTTCCCACTTACTAAAGGAGCAGTGTAAAACATCCGGCATCAATCTGTATGGCAAGTTCAAATCCTGAAAGATCCTACAGCCCAGATCACCCCAACGAACCGGCAATCCATCATTATTTGCACAGATATGAAAAGGCTAAGATGCTAAGATGCACTAGGAAAGGTCTCTAGAGCAAGGAGCTCAACTTCATGGAATGTAATGCATATATTATCCATGACTTAGAACAAGAAAAGGCCAAGTAGTTTTATCAGTAGCTTCAGCCATACTCAACACCTAAAATATTTACAGCTCTGGTCTTCTTCTGAGATAGATGGCCAATGCCTCCTCTAGCATAAAATGTTTAATCACAACCTGGTTTGCTAAGGAACATTCTCGGTGCTAGGAAGTAAATGCCACTCTAGAGCATGGATTCAATTTTAATGTGACTGTTTAGGTTAAAATAACCACCTGTTGAGGATGTTCTAACTATCCAAGAGTAAACTGTAAATTCTTCTACATAAAAGTTCATCTTAATAGTTCATATGTATTTATTATAGTCTTTTTAGTTTGATAACAATTAACATTACCACTTCTAGATTCTCAGTAGGGACTATAAAACCATTATTATTTTTAAAACATAATTTGGGTAACTGGTCTATACCACAAGTTCTGGATTAATTATATATTTTAGAAATATAACTTTCTTTTCAGGCAAGATACCAAAGAACCAAGCAACATAACTATTTGAATCCTAATGAATGTATAATGAGCATGATTGATTTTCTACATTATTAAATGTTTAAATAAAAGCATTGTGATTAAGAAGCAGTGTTTTTATTGCTCTGTGAGGATATACCTCTATATCCAGATGCTTGGATTATCAGCATTATTTGACACCAAAGTAAAGATTATGTGTCACTGGGTTTCAATATGAGTTATTGTATAGCAATTGAAAATATAAATTCTATCAGCCTTTGCCCACATGAACATTTCTGTCAACAATACCCCACATACCCGGATCATATGAAGGTGGGGGAGGAGGAGGAAGCTTGCCCCCCTCTTTAAGGGCCTGATCCAGGCCTTTAGCTGCTCGTATGGTGGCAATGAATTCCTCATGTTTTCTTCTCCAGTTAGACGGTTTCTTTGGTGGTTCTGGCTAAGAAAGCAACATCAAAATATATTTTTAATATACTGACATAAAAGTTCAGGTAAAGCCATATTATTTTAAATGTTCTTTTGGCAGGAATGCATCAGAGCTTCCCCAAATTAAAAATCACTTGCAAACAACTTGTTAATGGTATTCTACTGAAGGCAGATACTGTCCAAGTGTCCTCTGCAGGTGGACAGCCAGCTGTTTTTGTGCTCCTACGCTTTCTCCTCTCTCAACATTTCTACAGTAAAATTTTCCAAACCCAGGTGGAAACAGCTGTCTGGATTTCACGGTTTCCTCTTAGGAACAGGAGACTGTGATGCTCTCGTCACCTGACGGGGTCATCTGTAAGTGTTCTGTGAATGCTTCACACTCCTAGCCACCCTCCTCCCCTGACTTGCAGGCTTTTCGGGATAATTCTTCCGGGCAGAGAAAATTACTCTTTTTCTCTCCAGGCCCTGTGGGCCTATAGGTCCTTTGATAAGCAGAATTATTTTAAAACTGTTAACTAATTTACTAATTTTTTTTCTTTTTTTTTTTTTTTTTTTTTTTTTTTTTTTTTTTTTTTTTCGAGACAGGGTTTCTCTGTGTAGCTTTTGGAGCCTGGCACTCACTCTGTACCCCAGGCTGGCCTCGAACTCACAGAGATTTATCTGCCTCTGCCTCCTGAGTGTTGGGATTAAAGGCCACCACCACCTGACATGACCCCCTAATTTACTATTTTCTGTTGGGTGTTCTTTTCTTTTGCTTTGTGTCTTTAACTTGTGTATGTTATTCATTCTCATATACTGTGGCATAGAGACTCACACTGTAGTTTCTGTATCCTTCTCAATTCCCTACTCCACCCCACGCTAATACTGAGTTAAAACATTCACCATAAACTAAACACTTGAGTGTAGATCTAAACCTGAATATTCCTGCTCATTCCATGATTTAAAACATTCACCATAAACTAAACACTTGAGTGTAGATCTAAACCTGAATATTCCTGCTCATTCCATTGCTTCGATGATCCTTGTTTGAGAACTAGGACTTTAAATACTGAAACCCTATAGCATTATTTGACATTTGACTAGGCAATCTTAATTCATGATCATTTCTCAATCTTTTCTTTCTTCTTATATATGTACTTTTTGTATTAACTTTATAATTGGCTTGCCATTACAAAGAAAACCTATTAGTTTTACTAGAAAAAATGAAACATTTTATTCATACATAATTTAGGGAACCTAACCTTTATTATGCTGAGTTGACTTATAAGAACAGTTTGTTATCTCAACTGAAAAACATATTCATTTACAACTTTCAGTCCTTATAGAAGGGTTGTTCTTTACTGTAAAATGTATTTCTAAATAATCTCATACCTTGTGTTGCTCTTCTAGATAAGATACATCATGACTTAAGAGACAAGTATATCAAAACTAGTATTTTTTGTACACTTCCCTATTTTACTTTACTGTCTTACTGTGTACAGTAATTTCTCAGTTGATTCTCTTAATTTTCTAGGTATTTCATAATTCCCAACATGCAGACAATTTCACTTTGTTTCTTTAAGTGTATCAGCTAGCATCTTATGTATTGGTTGTAACTGAATCCAGCTCCTCACTGTCTGAGTCTACCCACTTCTGCAATCTATCCACTAAACATGATGCTGGCTGACATTAATTCAACTATTCTTAACATCTTTATTTTTTAAAATCAAGAGTATGAATTCAATCAAATCAAAATAAAGTTGGTTGAAAATACAAATGCAAAACTAAACAATACGAAATAAAACCCCAACTCTCCAGCCTAAATCTGGTCATGCAGCACATGTCCAGGCCTGGACTGGTTCTCACACCTCATCCAAGAAGCTGCTTTTTATAGTAGGTGGAGGACTCGTACAGAGACCCTCAACTGCAGAGAACAGGCGGCCACTAGGTAACCCCAACTGATACAGCCATTAGCAACCCGCTATACCCAAGGCTCAGGGAAAATCACAGAGAAGGGGACAGAAAGATTGTGGGAGTCAGAGAAACCGGGCCCCTATTTCAAGACAGTGTCCACCAGATATGACAGAAAATCTCACCCATAAGACCTAAACAATATGCTTGCCTGAAGAAGACTAGCATAATGGCAATACCAGCTGGCGTATCAAAGCTGCTGGGGGAAACCCTACACGAAGAGCTATAGATCGTTTGTGGCTACTGGGAGAGAGGAATACATTTTCACCAGGGATGAGCTCCTATATGGGTTGTCTAACCCCAAGAGGTCAACCATGGACATATGTACACCTGAACAATGCTAAACGGACTCAGTAGGTTGTACATACTCCATGTGTGTGTCCATGTAGTATACATATAATGAAAGATGACATCATGAATGTGGGGGACCATTCATGGGAGGAATTGCTGGGGAGAGAGAATGAGCCAGGAGTATGGTATATATACATCACTCACATGAGCTGACCTTGCTTAAACCGCAGAATGCCCTCAGAAGGTAAAGTTGGCTACTGCATGAGACTTTAGTCTGCCTCGTCTTTAGGCTCTGTTCTCCAGGTTCACACTGGCAACTCGAGCAGCAAATGCTGGTGCAGCAACTTGAAAGAGTTTTGGGGTAAGAAAAGCAGACACAACTCTCCCCTCTGGGGACGGACACTCTACTCCTAAAGAAGGTCCCCATGACTGTGAGGACTTGCCTCTTAGAGTCTATGGAAATAGGAAACCATTGCTGTGATCCCCCATGTGCAGACAGCCACTTTTAGAAATATATCACCTTCTAACTGGGCTTCTGACCATCAGGAAGGCTCTGAAAACCTCTAGCACAGAGCCTGTTCTATTCAACTCTTCTCCCCATGTCCCCTTTCTGGCTTTTGTTCAACTTTAACCCTGCCCATTCCAGATCCTAGCAATACACATTTGCCTGCTTTATCGTATGTCTAACATGGTGTAGTTGTTTAAAAAGTTATACATTCTTAAAGAATGTGCCTTAGAGAAATTACCTTGATGAAAAGACTCCCTCGAATATAGAGTGTCTGATTCTTAGCCACAGAATCCCAAAAAAACTTCCTACATATTCTTTTTTTGGGTAATTTAGGCTGGATTTCAAATGCTCTAGTCAGTTCTTATACATATAGTCTATGCATGATGTCTTGTCTTTAATTTTACCAAAACTAGAGTGTGTTCTATGGTTTAGGTGCTTGTGATTGTGTACGATTTCCTTGATACAAATAAATACAGAAAGAATTATACTACACTGTTAGCATCTTCTAATCGCTTCCCAAACTTTAATATGTATATGATTCACCCAAGGGTCTTGTAAACAGTAGATTTTAATTCAGTGTCTATCCGTGAGGGCCAAGATTCTGCATTTCTAACAAGCTCTCAAATAATACTGCTATTAAAACACTACAGATCACACTTTAGGGAGGAACAAGGCAATGAACTACTCAGTATAGTTTTTACTTTGCTTTTACTCTTAAAGTGATTAAATAAAACTTTTTTTAAAAAGCAGAGTAACAGCTGCATATTACAATCTTATACAATGTCCACAATGACCCATAAGACAACTACTTCTACCAACACTGCAATTGTACAGGGAAACAGAAGCATGCATAAGGTAACTTCCCTAGTCAGCACAGCATGTTACATAACCAGACCACAGTCCAGGGTTCGATTTTTGCCAGCCTCTTTACCTATGAGACACATGGTCTCAAACAGATAGCTACTTTACCTACTTTAGCTAATGTAATCATGTAAACGGCACCGCCTATGAAAACCTTCAAATATTGGTTTGTGCTCCCCAGTTAGGTCTCACGTCCTCCCTGTAAATATTCATAGACAGCAAAGCAAAGATAAATATTTGTTTCGCTTAGGCTCAAATAACTTCTTCGAAGAAAATGAGCTACTGGACTCAGGGTCTGGAACTGAACCCAGTTCCTACGGAAAAGAACCAAGTACTCTTAATTGCTAAGTTATCTTCCAATTCAACTTTAAAAGAATTATTAAATTTATTTTACCTATTAGTCAAGTTAACTCACAAGAAGAGCAGCACATAGCTAGTTTAAGGAAGCCACTAAAATGCTTGTCCAGTTTCAAACTAGCTCTCGGTGAAGTTCTACACTGCTAGACTGACCACCTAGAACCAGAGTTTCTTGTACCATTTTACACTTCCCATTATCAATCACGTTTTTATTCATTCATCTGTTTTTATTTAAAATAAGCTTTAGTTTCTGATATTTATTCTGAACACACAACATGGAATTTTGTTTACTCTGCCTAGAACAACACTCATTACTCATTATGATTTTTTCAATACATGTAATAACAAGATGCACACTGCTCCAACGTGTATATAGTTACCCTGGGTTTAAGCGGTTTGACTGTGGGAATATCAGTGCCTTCCGCTCTTTGCCTGCTGGAATCAAAAGTCTTCCTTTTTTTAGTGGCAGTTTTCTGGCAAATGGGTCCATGTTTTTTCTGTTACAATGAAGAAATAAAGCATATTTTCATTTATACAGAAGAGAAGACCGCAAGACTAAAAGTGTGGCCCAGCTTACACACCATGTACAAAAACCCAGGAGAAAATGTGCATGTTTCCTTAATTAAGCTTTAAAGCACACACATACAAACTCTCTTAACTCTGTCTCTCCCACTCCCCGCACCTTTCAGGAAATTATAGAGAAATATCTTCCTAAAACTTTATCAGAAGTCATTTAATATTCTACTTTTCACTGTTGCTAAGAATAAGCAGAAATGAAACAACTGAAAGCTACTTCGGTGAAAAGTCCTTAGTAAACACAAAACAGGGGTGAGAAAAATCAAGTAAGGGAAGAATGATTCAGTTTTGGGATCACAAACGTTACCCCGCCGGATAACACAGAGTAACGTAAAAATAGGTTAATAACACTGACCCGAAACAACAAACTGAGTGTTCGTTTGTGTCCTTCCTACACAATTATCCCTTTTCTCCTACAACTCCAAACCTTTCCCTCCACCTAGCACTCAAGCTTGCTTGCTTCACTTTACACTTTCCTTATACTGCGCACCCATCTATGTCTAAATGTTTTGTTGATAAATGCTAACTCATTTGTTCATTTTAAGGATAGAAAGACATCTCCGTGCACCCTTGGCCTTTCAGCAGGTACTCGTGAAAATGTCTACTACGTGAGGGAAAGAAGAAAATTAGCTTATTCAGTCCCGAGGCCAGTCACAGACCCACTGTCTCAAATAGACAGAAATTAAAATAAACAAATTATTTAGTTTTAGCTTTGTTTCAATAAACATTGGACTAAAAATGCTCTTAAATGAAAGGTCTGATGGTGTACTTCAGTGTGTATGAGCATGCATTTGTAAGCACCATGTGTGCCACGTGCACGCCTGATCTACAGGGGCCAGGGAGGTTGTAGGATTCCCTGGAAATGGAGGCAGAAAGGGCTGAAAGACACCATCAATACGGGCCCTGGAAACAGAACCTGGGCCTCAAGCAAGGGCAGCGAGTGCTCTTAACTGCTGAATCACCTCTTCATCGCCAGCAAAAATTCTTTAAATGCCTCTCTCTCTCTCTCTCTCTCTCTCTCTCTCTCTCTCTCTCTCTCTCTCTCTCTCTCTCTCTCTCTCTTTACGCCACAGCTCAGGATGGGTTAAAAATTTGCAGCTATCTACCTTCCTTGGATTTCCATGCATTGGTATTACAGGTGTTAACCATTACTTTTGGCTCTATTTCTCTTAAGTAATGAAAATAATGCTACCAGGAAACTTCCTAGTATTCTCAAATACGTCTGTCCTTAGAAAGTTAGCAGTATATTAAGGGTATGCGGTGCCTACTTAGAATCTATATTACACAAACTGAAGTAGTTTTAAACCTTAACGTCATTAAATTAAATATTTAAGGAATAAACATTTGTTTTCTTCTGTAGAATCCAAGTGTCATAGTTTGAAAATCATTTGTGAAGAAACTGCTGAACATTAATATTAGATTACTAGCAACTGCACATTTATATCTGAGATTGAAAAAGATACGAAGGCAAAATTACTATCCTATATACCTGAGTAATGTTACCAAGATTAATGCAACATGCTTCTATTCAATTTCTGTATGCTAACCAGATGAAATTAACACATTTTTAGCTGCACTTTCATAGTGCTGAAACAGCAAAGCCTTTGCTTTGGATGATTTAAAACACAGGAAGAAAACAGAAGGAACGACCCTATTAATTCATCATACTTCTCAACAATTCCTGCTCCTGGAATATGTTTAAAGCAAATTCTAGAGATTGTAACATTTGTTAGTACATTCTCATTTATATTTATGAGGTGCTTTGCCTCTTAAATTTGTGTATTGTGTTCCTATCTCATATTATTCCTACAAAATTGGCGTACAAAAGTGGAGTTCGGAGTTCAGCCATTTTCACATGAAACTCATCTTCAAAGATTACCCTGTGAATGCTCCATAACCTTCAATTCAGCCACACAATGGTCCTCAAGCACGAAACTATCGCCGGTCTGTGGGCCCCAGAGCACACAGACTAAAATAAACCCCGCCTACTCACCAGTGCTAACGGAAAGAATGTTCTTCCACAGATCTTACAGGGCAACAGTTCTCCAACCTGGACAACACTTCCATTCCCTAAAACACAAAATAATCCAATTATAAGTTTCCCATAACTCACATTACAAAATTTTCATTTTTAATGTTGTCGCTTAGGTCTTATAGGTGAGTTGGGAGCTCTTATTTAAAAGTTGTACTTTGCTGGGCAGTGGTGGCGCACGCCTTTAACCCCAACACTTGGAAGGCAGAGGAAGGTGAATCTTTGTGAGTTCGAGGCCAGCCTGGTCTACAAGAGCTAGTTCCAGGACAGGCTCCAAAGCTACACAGAGAAATCCCATCTTAAAAAAAAAAAAAAAAAAAAAAAAAATTGTACTTCAAAATGAGCAAAATTTTCAATTAAAATGGTCTAAGGCTTAGAGTTACCAATGACCTAAAAGGCAATAGTACACACATAACAATGATAATCCAAGGATAATCAAATTGATATTGTTAGAAATACATAGTTTTCTTTTAATTATTTATATCTACTATAAATACAAAGAATTCATGACCAGATCTATCTCAATAATAGCTCCAAGGCATGAAGAACTATCACCAATGAGTAATCATCCTGAACTTATCTGGGAGTGAGAATCAAAGGAATCTTGTTTAATTATCAAGAGACAATACAAAATATAATTATCCAAAGTTAAGATCATCTATTTATACTGTGATCCGGCTGGAAAAAAATTAATCAATCAATAAAAAATGAGATCATACAGTTATGTAAACTGCCTGTCATATGTCCCGTGAATCACTCATTTTTATACATACATATGATATTTACATTAAAATGACCCATTAGACTTCTACATTGAGATATTCTGAACTCATTTGGGCACAATTAATTAAATGGTTGCTAGCTAAAATCTGTATACCGTTACGTGGCATACCATGTACGTGATACAAATATTATTGCTTGGAGTGGTTTAAAAGAAGAACAACTATGTTCTTTCGGACATTATGTAACTGATTTATTTTCTACCTAAGTATTAGATCTAAATGTACTTTCATGCCTGTAATTTTCTTAAAGCAAATGGCAAACCTATAAAATTACCCACATATCTTCTGTTGATATTTCACTGACTACAAAACTTCTTTATATAAACTGGAAAAATATTTTCTGCTCAATGTACCAAACTCCTGAAAACACACACACACAGAGACACACACACACAATATTTTACTACATAAACTACGTTCTTTGGTCATGAGGTGGTGAATCCATAGAAAACCAATATGGTGATCCCAAACAGACCAGTAAGGAGGTTTGCTTGAATGCACTCAGTCACAGGGATACTGGTTCTCGAATTGCCCAGTGCCCCGCGGCACTATTTCACTGGGGAACAGTGACTGTTTGTAATCCAGGTGGATGTGAGATGTCTGGACAGTAGTGAAGCTGGATATTAGAAAGGCAAACCTAAGACTCACCCGATGTTTTCTTCCGCTAATACGCGCATAAAAAATGGGTTACTCACTGACCTGGACTCGGAAGGCTGAAGCAGTTTCCACACAGAATTGCTTCCTGGGTTCTCATATATTCTTTTAAATACAAGGCAATGGTTTAAAACTTAGCATAAATGCTAAAAAAAAAAAAAAAAAATCTCACAATTCACTTGCTTAAAAGTGTGTTACTTTAGTTATCTACTTGTTAGGTCTAGTACAAAGCACAATCTAATGATAATTCCCAAGACTGCAGGTATGGCTCAGTGGAAGGTCTTGGCATGCCTAAAGTCATAGGTTTAATCATAGACACACAAACACACACACACACACACACACACACACACACACACACACACACACACACACATACACTTCACAGTTAACCAATCAGAAAAAAATGAATTCAATTCACTGATATGACCTGAATGGCTATTTGAGTACCTATTGGTTACCAGACACATTCTGGGGCACAAAGGTGAACAAAACAACCACTGCTCTCATAAAATCAGCCACAATCCACTTATTTACTTCTCTATTCAATTCAGCAAGAATGAAATCACCTCACGTTTTCAATAAAATATTTAACACTTAATGGCTGCCATAGCTTTACCATATGGTAAAATCTAATTTCTAGAGTTAATTCTCACACGTCATCAAAGATGGTCAAAATGTCTTCAAGGGAAAGAACCACTGTCACTAGAAGAACATGAAAAGGAATGTATACAGCAGCAACAATCCCAGGCGATGAATGATACACTCCTAGAACCCTGGCACTCTGGAGGTCAGTTCAGCCTCCTTAGCAAGACCCTGTTTCAAAGGGACATGGGAGAGGCAAAGTCTCAGTTAATTTTCTATTGCTGTAAACACAGCATAACCAAGGCAATTTATACAGGGAGGAGTCCTACTGGAGAGCATGGGTAAGACCTTACTGTTGAAGACATGTCACCATGACCTTACTGTTGAAGACATGACACCCTGTGGTTGCTGGGGCTCAGTGAAGACTTCAGAGAGTATCTCAGAGGAGGCTGCTCAAAGAACTGTTTCTACTTTTAAAAATTCTCTTGGAAATGTACTAGGTAAGTTTTACAAGGATAAGACTGATTTTCTGAGTTTTAGAATACTGAAGTATTTTCAAATATAATATTTTTCTGACATTATGGCAACTGTATATACATAGGTATGTGTGTGCATATATACATATATATATGTGTGTGTGTATATATACATATATATGTATATGTGTGTGTATATATATATATGTGTGTATATATATATATATATATATATATATATATATATATATATAAAATCATGATCACATCCATCCCCAGCTCCTCCTTTCTACTTGCTAGAGACGCCTGCCAACACATCTGTATATCCTTGCATTTTTTTTTTCTTGCTTATTATTTTAGTAACCCTTGAGTCCGGGCTCAGTCTTGTGCATATAATGTACCATCTGAGTTCTGAGTGCGGAGGCGTGTCATGCCCAGAGAAAAGCACTTGAGCAGTTAACCCCATCTTCCACAATTCTAGCATCCATTATGTGCACTAAGTTGCTTACAGGGAGTCATAAATTATAAAGAACCGCAGCTCATCTGGGTCCAACTTTTAACATGAAATAGAACTCTTGAATTTGTTATAACTCTTCCCAAGGTTCTTTACAGACAGATCTCCTTTCAGATCTACCGCCTCCAAAATCCACCTATACACTTTATTCTATACATAGCCTTTACCCTCCACACCACTTGAATTATCTGACTTTGGATTAATAAATATAATTTTATAAATTAAGTTTTTCTTAAAACATTCAAGCTTTCTCTAGATTCCCAGCTTGCGCTCAGTCACTATCTTATATCAGAATAAATTTGACTTCCTTCCTTAATCCAGGGTTTCATTTACTGCAGTTTCATTGACCTAGTCAAGGACAATCCAAGAAACTGACATTTATCCTGATGTGTTCTCTCAAGGCCACATTTTCATTTACTTATTAAATTGTCATTTATTGTCAATCTGTTATACTACACCTAGTATATAAGCTAAAATTTCTCATTGTTAAGTACATATCTGGAAAACCATAGCACCCACAGTCCTAACGGCTGGTCCCGGGCATACACTGGGGAGCTGAGAGGTAATGTGCCATAGACCCAGATGGCGAGCCCAACGTAGGGCATGGATTCCCACGTAACGGGAGGGCTTTCTAGTCTCACCGTGTCTTGTAGACCAGAGTCAAATGGTGAGCGCAGCCCCCTGGGCTGGTGGTAAAAGTACCCTGCCAAGTTGGAGCGTAACTGGTTGTAACCAGGAGCCAAAATGTCCACTTCAACCCTAGCAATGCTGTTTAGCAGACAAAGGACTCGTGGTCAGAAAACGATATATACAGTGAAGACAGATTCAGAGGGTGGGGGGGAAAAAGGCCTCTAAACAGTTTACAGTGTGTTTAAAAATATATGTATGCTTGGGAGAGAAAAGAAAAAGGGCAAAGTCCTTAAAAAATAGAGCAGCTGGGTGTGGTGGCACACCCTTTTAATCCCAGCACTCAGGAGGCAGAGGCAGGCGGATCTGTATGATTTCAAGGCCGGCCTGGCCTACACAGAGAATTCCAGGACAGACAGAAATACGGACACTATAGTCTAAGCTCCTTCCCAGTTGTAGTTCCCTATCTACCCAGTTTGAACAGAAAGCTACTGTCCCTTTTCATAAATAGCTCCCAAATTCCTTGTTACATGGGCAAATGCTTGTGAAATGTTATACTAAACAAAGTTAGATGAGGTTTTTTTTCTTACTTCCTCAATTAAGGAAAAAAGGACACAGAATGCTGCTATTTTCTTACACTCATCAGAAATCCTTTTTACACCCAAGAGATATTTAAGACCAATGTCCTTAGTATATTTTCAAATACTGACACTGTCTAGTTAGTGCCTCCCTCCCACTCTCCCCCTACATGGCTACAGGCTCGCTTTCTGAGCCTATCCACTGTATTAAAATACTTGACTCAACAAATACTGGTTTTCTGGCACCAGATAATATTTTTTTTCAAAACATATGGAGCTAAAGGCAAAAGAATAAAATGAAATAAAAACAAAACCCCTAATCTTATAGAGACCCTATTATTCAAATACTAAGAAGAAAAGTAAGTCAAACAAATATTTAAAATGTCAGAAGATTAACAACATAAAGAGGAAAAAATGGAATACGGGAAAGAAGATAGCCAGGGTGATCTTTGGGAAGTAGACAAGGTCAGGGGAAACTAACAATAGCAACAGAGACTAAGAAATGGGACCTACTCCGCTGACCTACTAAACGTCATGCTTAATTGCATCTTTTACACCCTCTCTGACCAGGCTTTCCCGTGGCACAAGGTACTTACTGTTCATCTTTTGGCCTTTACTGTTCTTCCTCTGCAGGGTTCTCCATTTCTTCCCAATTCTTTGGCAAGCTAGTACTACATTTCCTACCTACACCCAGATACTATAAGCTTCTCTAGCTCATTTGTTTCTTCATAAATATTAGTGTCTCCCCAACAATCCTTGTCCCCCAACCCCCGCAAGTTTTAAAACTTCTCTAAAGATTCTGCCCATCCAACTTCCTATTCTACCAATCCTGAAACGTGGGATTTTATAAGTAGTTTCTTTTCTCACTTTGCTAAGTATGATTTGCCTAGGCTACCCTCTTGGTAGTGATAACCACTAAAATTCTCAGACACATAACCGTGAGGTTTGTTTAATTTAAATGGGATATTCCCATGTGCTACAAACACATTTCTAAAGCCAAAGTCATTGAAGTACGAAACTTTCTTCTCTCTTGCACCAAAAACCCTACCTCATTTCCCAACCTCAGGTTGATCTCCCCCTTACACGGTCCATGGTTTTAATCTTCACCACACACAGGCACACACACAAACACACACACACACACACACACACACACACACACACACGCACACCTCTGAAGTCTCTGCTTTGTTCCAGTCTGTCTTGGACACAGTTATTTGGGCCTCAGCTGGCAGGCCAAGAGAGACGGCATGCTTCCTTAGTCTTTATCTACTGAATAAATACATACTTCAATGCACTTGGCATTTAATGGTTTTTTTCTGTGTATGTTTAATACTTGATATAGCCAGTGTGGTTTATGTTTAATAACTTTGCTTTTTATAGCTGAGATAACTGAGGTTCTGATTTGGATTACAGAGGCATCCAAACGGTTAAAAGTGCTCACTGAACCCGGGGTTCAGATCCCAGTATCCATATGTGGGCTCTCAACTGTCAGTAACTACAGTTCCAGTGGATCTGACGCTTCCTTTTGACATGCACCCATACATACATGCAAGACAAACACTCATACAAAAACAATAATAATAATAAAATAAACTCTCATAAAGACACATCCCCAAATCAGAGACAAAATAAAAGAGGTAAGAAAAATAAAACAAAAGTTTAAATGAAAGCTTCTATAAAGCTCCGCTGGCCATGGAAATACCTAAATTTCAACTCAGCCATCAATCAAAAGCCACAATGACAAACATGTTACAAACATGGCACACACCTGTGCTAAGGTAACACAAAAGAGACATACTAACAAAGCATGATGGCAGACTCCCACTAGGTAGGTACGAAACAGAAGAGCAATGGGACTTGTAATCAAGATTCAGCAGCAACACTAAGATAATAAACACAGCGGTCCAAAGCAAGAATGGTCTGCCCAATGTCTGCCATAATTGTTATAACCATATCTTACAATATTAGAAAGGCAATGGCTATGGTGAAAGCATAAAATCTTAGATTTTTATCACCTCAATCTTATGGGTGATAAATTTATAATAGACTAGAACTTCCCAACTCTTAAAATTACTTCTATGCTCTTTGGATACATCCAAGATACAACATTTACTTGAGAAGGGATTAAAGACTTTTCTTATTAAGTGAATGCAAGGGTGAATAAATAAACGAATGGTATCCTTAAGACTAGAAAGTTTTAAACTCTGCAAAACATGATGTGATAGGAACTGACATGGGTGGGGTTAAAGCCAAGAAAAAAAAAAAAGGCAGTTTTCGATGAGCTTTTATTATGTTGAACTACTTGAAATTACCAATATTCAGCTGTTCTGCCAGACAAAAGAGCTACTTTCTTATATTTCAACCTAATTCATTACAATTAAGAACTTTTAATTGATGGCATCTTATTTTGTTAGAAATAAAAAAAATCAAAGAGTTAAAAGGTTGGTGTTTCTGTTTGACTTAAACCAGATTCATAAATCATGCTCATTCCCTAGCGCGCGCACACACACACACACACAGAGTGACTGATATTATGATAGTTTTCAATTATATTTCCGAAATTTTAGACTGCAACAGTAATAACAGGACAACTTAAAATGTGAAGATTCTTAGAACGGATAGATCCTTGACGACTTTTATTCTTTGCGTGCATAGGATGACTAAGTAAACACTGGGTAAATATTTCTATCACTGTAAATGTCCATCAGTAAAACTCTGCGAAGTGTTACAAAACACTCTTCATGCACTATGATAAAAAATCCTGCAACCCGTGTTTCAACCGTGTTTTCTATACAGCCTCTACACCAGTATAGATTTAAATAATTAAAATCAGCTGCCTGCAGGGGTCTCCCCAAAAGAGAGATTTTTGTAAGGAAGACATGCTGTCATTACAATTTCTCATTCCATGTAAAGTTGAACGGTACACCGTATACACAGTCAACTGGAATTCTTTATAAGCTTCAAGGTGTTTGGTGAGGGCTTCACTGCAAAATAAAACTGAAATAAAATTCACAATCATGTGACCAAATTTCCTTTCCGGTGCACTTAAAAAAAAAAAAAATCACTGAAATCTGAAAAAAGTTATCAGTTGCCTATCTTCACTTCCTAACACATCCTGAAACATTTATCTATAATACAAGGAAAAGAAGGGCTTGGTGGCCCTGCTCATTCCAAGTATGTTGAGTGGTAGAATTTTTTTTTCTAATAAGAAAAAAAAAAGAAGAAAACGAGGTCCAGAAATTCTGAAAGCTTGTTTATCAGAAGGGTCTACTGTCTTTTATTCATCTAGACGCCGTTATTACCACTGCTGGGTTGTATTTATTTGTTAATTTATTGCTTTTTCCCTCCCTTTGTTTTTAAGCGACGGCTGCCCTTACATAGGATTAAAACCAAAGGTAGAAAAAGTGAAACAAGGCACAAAGCAACCATCTGAAGCCATGGCTACAGCACCAGGAGAGGGCGAAGGGAGATAAGGAAGCCAACGCTGGCTCTTCCCTAGTCTGCGCTCGTCAATAAAACCCACCGAGCTGGAGCTATTGTTCCCGGTGCAGAGCTGGCCGGGGACGCTTCCTTGGAGACGGATGCTCCGGCATCTCCGCGACCGGGACGCGGTAGGCAGGGCAGGCAGGCTGGCTGCCCGGGAACGCCCGAGGTGTGCGCCCGGGGCTGGCCGGAGGGGGCCGAGCAAAGGGCAGGCGACCCGGACATCGGCCGGGAGCACGGTTTGCAAAGACGAGCGAAGCTGAGCGGAGCCGCAGACTAACCCAAAGGCGTCCACGGGGTCAGGAAGGCCCGGGAAAGGGAGGACGGGGCGCTCCGGCGACCCCCGGGGAAGCGGGGGACCGTGCGCGGGTGGCAGCCCCGCGGCCAGCGCTCCGGCCCGGGCATGGGCGGCCGCGCCCGGGGACCGCGCAGCGCATCGCGGCGCCCCGGCCTCCGCCCGCTCCAGCCCCGCGGCCGCGGGCCCGGGTCTCACCTTCCAGCCCCTCCATGGCGCGGCGCTCGCTCAGCTCAGGGTCCCCGCGCGCCGCCCTCGGCCGCCGCCGCCCAGCTCCCGCTGTAGCAACCCAGTGTCGCCTCCCACACGCTAACATCCAGCTCTCCCATTGGCCCGCGCGGGCCGGGCCGGGGCGGGGCCGCGGAGGGCGGGGCCGGGGCGGGGCCGCGGTGGGCGGGGCCTCGTCTCCCCGGGTCTCCAGGGTGAGTGCTCCCCACGCCCCGGGTGGATGCCGCCACGCCTTTGTTCCACGCCGGCCGCACTTGGCCTCGCTGCCTGCGTGCCTGAGCAGCCCAGGTCGATGCCAGGGTGCGTTGTGAGGGTCCCGAGGAGCTGAGTGGCTCCCGCAGGGATGGAAAGGAGCCCAGGTCCCACACCTTCCTGGGTTTGCCCTTTTAAGTCAAGCATCCCCCAGACCTGCTCTGCAGACACAGCCCCCTCAACACCACACCACACCCCTTTTTTGTTTTTTTGGGTTTTGTTTTTTTTCCAGACACAGATGGACTATAGTTTCTTTCTGGGACTATGCAGCCGAGATCGCACTAAACTTTGGAAGACAAAGTTTTCCATAAAAAGTTGAGCCCAAAATTAGAAGGGGGACTTCTGCAAGCTCACTCAGTCTTCCCCTGTCCAGCACTGTATCTGCTCTCCTTAGAACTATGCCATACTTAGGGGTTTAAACAGGGAAGCCAGCTGACCAGAGTCACAGGGAGGCCTGTTTGTTTCTGTCACAATCAAAACACCAGAGTGAAGGATGCTCGAAAGGAACCCCAGCCTTTTTAATGGCTTTGCTTCACAACAGAACACTTTTCCCCAGACTAAAGCTCTTTGAAATTTTTACTTAGCATAGTAAACCCTCTTTGCTGATTCCAAGGTATGTATTGGTAAGTTACCACCATGATTTTGCCCAGTTTAAATCTTACTTTTTTTTTTTTTTTTTTAAGATGGTGTTTCTCCGTGTAGCTTTGAAGACCAGGCTAGCCTTGAACTCACACTGCCTGCCTCTGCCTGCCTCTGCCTGCTAGGTGCTGGGATTAAAGTCGTGTTCAACCACCACCCAGCCCTACACTATTTCTAATTCATAGGTCTAATTCAAAAATCTTATCTTGATTCTGTATACATTTAATAAACCAAGAAGTCACAGGTTTTGTTTAAACAAGCAAACCCCAAAGAGTCTTGTCTTTCAGAAGATGTTGACCTGAATTAGGCAGATAAGGCCAGTTCGGGAATTGGCTCCTGAGTCCTTCCTCCCCTGGTTCTGCTCTGGCCCTTCCTCAATTCCAAGTGAGTTTCTAAACCTAGGAGGCCTGCTTGCTGCCACACAGGCAACTTAGCTGGCCTCTGGCTATAGAGTGGCTTTTCTTTTCTTTCTTTCTTTCTTTCTTTCTTTCTTTTTTTTTTTTTTTTTTTTTTTTTGTGCTTCCAAAACCAAATCAGATGGGGAATAGCTTTTACAAAAATGTCAAAGGGGAAAATATACATAAAGGAAATGTAAAAAATAATAATAATAATAAATAATAATAAAATAATAATAAAGAAGACTTTGTAAATTGCAAGTATTTCACCTGAAGACAAACAGGTGATTGATACAAACTTTATTGGCCATAATATCTAGAGTAACCCACAGTAAAAAGAGAGAAACAACTCCTAAGTTACCCTCCTCCCCCGCACATAAAAGCCATGGCACATGCATTCCTCAACTTACCTACATCATCACATAGCACATTAATAATAAAAAGGAAAAAAGTATATCATGTGAAGTATGTTTCATGCCTGCTATATCCATACGTTCATTCGGCAAAGCCAGTCCCCAGAGTAGAGCCTACAATCTCCAGTTTTCAAAATTAAAATCTTTATTATAGATGTCTCAGTGGTTAACGTTTTTGTCAATATTTGTGCCAGAGCTTGGATTTAGTCTCCGTGGGTTATAACACTGAAGCCTACTCAGATTTCCTTACGTTTCTATCTCCCTGCTTGTCTCCATCCTATAGCAAACAAGAACTCAAGCAATTCAAACATGCTGCTTCATGTGCATTTGGATAAGCATTTCTATAGTGGATCTTAATTCTCAAATGGTGTTTGTTTCTCTTCTCTGCAGTGCTGGAGTCCCAGCTCTTCATGCTACAGCCATCTTGCCTCATGCAGCTATCTCTAGGTACCAGCTCCAGCATAAAGATAACACATTCCTCTCCGATTGCCTATGTTCCCTCCCTGCCCCTAAAAGCCAGCATTGTGAATATCTTTCTTCTTGGCACATATCTCTGATGTAACATCTCTGTAGTCCATTACCTAGTCCTCATGCATTCATTTAGCAAACATTTATTGATTACCTTTTAGGCTTCGGGCCCACTTTACTACTAGATACAAAAGTGATTGCCTCAGTATTTTTCTTTTTTCCTCTTATGTTCCTAAGCTGTTATCTGTATACTATGTTAGTAAGTAGTTGATAGTGAGATTTTTCTCATTTTCTTATCACACAAAAGGGGAAACTAAGTTAGAAAAAATGTCTGACCTGATCCAGACCACCCCTCCCCCAAAGTAGGAAGTAGATGAAATAGCTATTCTACGGTGTCTTATTACTTCAACCGTATGATTTGGGGGGGAGGTTTGGGGGTAGGGGAGGACTTTATATTATGTCCCCTGTAGTCACTATCCACTGGAGTCCCTTCACTGCCTTCCTTCAGCTTCCATAGGGCCAAATCAGCTACACTTTATCTTTGTGTTTGGAAGCTCCGGCTTTTTGTTGGATCTCACACAAAGTTCCAGTTCCTTTTCAAAAGCCAGTCTTTGGTTCTCACAGGTCATTTGCATAGTGCAGCTGGATGAGATACTAAATCTCAATGAGAGGTCATGGCTCAGTGTAATCAGCTTCACTGGGTGGGACTTTCATCGGTGGCAACATGGTAAATGACGTGCAGTTTGGTATTCAATGTACATACATACATATATATCAATTATAAGCAAATGGTATATTTTAGTATTAAATCAAAAGAAGCCCTGAGTTATAAGTGAAGGGCTGTTGTAGACTGAAGATGCACATCTTGAACTGGCGGGAATGGGCGTCTTTTCTGGTGAGATTACAAGTACAGTGAATGGGAAAGGAACAAAGAAGTTAATGAAATTGAAGTGGTAAATATATATATATTTTTTTCACTTTAATACACCTGCAGTAGGAGAAAGATTCTCTGGTACTGGATGAGCAAGGGCACAGATCTATAATTATAAGAGGAGGTTATTTTATTGATGCCTTTTAAAGAATGGTATGAATTAGTTTGATCCTAGGTCCCTGGGCTATCTAATTTCTGGTTCTTGAACACCCAAGCAGTATTGGGTATGGGTTCTATCTCATAGAGTGGTCCTCAAGTCAAATCAGATATTAGTTGGTTACTTCCCAAGCTTTGTGTCTCCATTACCCTAGCTTTTCTTGTATGGAGGGTACCACTGATGAGGTGGTGTCTGCATTTCTCTTTTAGTGGCCTGTATAGTTACCTTCCCTTACCAAAGACATTAGCATGTAGGGATGAAGGTTCTATGTAGGCCAACTTGACTTCTCTATGTTCAATGAGCTGTGTATGTTTGTCTCCATCAATAGGGACTTGTTGACAGCTTTTGTATAGCAATCTCCACAGTTTATGTTGCCAACCAGTCTTGGCAACATCCTGGGTTGTTTTGGGATCCCCAGTAGAACCCCTAACATCTCAATGAGACGTTACCCCATCTCAGCACTGGAAGCTTCATTTTGTAACAAGAGGTGGTAAGCTGGGAATCTGTCTCCCCCATTTTGTGATTTCATTTAGTTTGCCTTCATGTGTATATATATATATATATATATATATATATATATATATATATATATATATTAGGAAGTTTCTATTTTATGTGGTCTGTCAAACCTCAAGTGGTCCTTAATCTTTGATGCCTCCTCCTGCATCCCCTCCCTTGTCTCTCTTTTCATCCTTCCATTCCAGTCCCAGCACGTCTGATTGTAACCTTCTACCCTGTCTCCCTTCCCTGACAAATTCCGTCTGTGATCTTATTCCCTTGCTCTATGCCCAAGTCTGTGATTCTATGGATTGAAGATTGTTTATTATTGACTTAAAGCTGATATCCACACATGAGCAAATGCATACTACATTTGCCTTTATGGGCCTGGCATAATTCACTCAGGATGATTTTCCTTTCTAGTTCCATTTATTTATGGAGGATCTCATAACTTCCTACTTTTTAACAGCTGACTAATACTCCACTGTGTAAAAGTACATTTTCTTTATCCATTCTTCTGTTGGGGGATATCTAGGTTGAACATGGTTGAGCAAGTGTCTCTGTGGATTTTTCCCAAGCGTGCTATAGCTGGTTCTTCAGGCAGAATGATTTCCATCCTCCTGAGGAGCTATCATACTGATTTGAATAATGGCTGTACAAGTCGGCAGTCACACTAACAATGGAGGAGTGTTCTCCTTGTTCCATATCCTCACAGGGATGAGCTGTTACTTGTTTTATTGACTTCGTCATTCTGACTAGTAGAAGATGAAAACACAAAGTAGTTTTGGTTTATGTTTCCTTGATGACTTGAATATTTATTCAAGTCTTTTTCAACCATTTCAGCTTCCCCTGTTGACAAGTCTCTGTTTAGATCTGTACCCCATTTTCAATTGGCTGTTTATTTTCTTCATATCTAGCTTTTTAGAGTGCTTTATATATTTTCGATATTTGCCCTCTGTCAGATGTGTAGTTGCTAAAAATCTTTTCACATTCTATAGGCTGTCACTTTGTCCAAATGACAGTGTCTTTTCCACACAAAAGACTCTCAGTTTGATGAGGTCCCATGTATGAACCTTTGATCTTAGTGGCTAATGGAGTTCTGTTCAGTAACTCTTCTCCTGTGTCAGTGAGTTCAAGGCTGTTCCCCACTTTCTTTTTGATCAGGTTCAGTGTGTCTGATTTTATTTTTATCCATTTGGGGTGATAAGTATAGATCTGTTTGGGTTCTTTTACATGCAGCCATCCAACATGGTCAGCAGCATTTG